ACCTTTCCAAAGGGGGACTGAGAATGGGCTCATTTCTCTGACTGAAGACAGATGGCTTCAACCACCTTTTTAATGTTTTCAAGATTAAGAAGTAAAAACAGCAGCAAAACCAGTTGAATTGTCAAGATTAATACAGGTACACAGAATTCAATCACTTAGTATATATACCAGAAAAATAGCCTGGCTGTTTTCAGTCCCACATTTTGAAAAAAAATGACAGCATCTATGAAAGTGAAAAATTGTGGCCAACTATTTTGCCTTGCTGTTATTTAATTCTCCCTGAAGTAATTTCATATTTTATTATTCATCTGAAGGCTAAAATCATAGAAGCAAAAGTTTATTTGTAAAGAGAAGTGTGGGGCTTCCACACTGCTGTAGTTGTGACAACTTTTTGCAACATAAAAACAAAAAAACATGCCGAGGAAGTTAAGAATATTGCTATTCAATGCAATATTTCTGCTTCAGATGCCTAAAAGGGAAGTTTCAGCTTGAAAGAAAATGTGTTTTTGTTTCTGAAAACTCTTATTAAAATGTTCACATAGCACACAGAGTTGTGCGTGGAAGAAAGACAAGTATTTTGCAGAAAAGAGAAGGAATATGAAAGGGGTTATTAGAGAGGAAACATTATGCTGTTGGTAGTGAAGACTGTAAACATTTTCCTTGTAAATATTTATTTTCAAAAGTTTCAAACTTATACCTAAAACCTCCTCCTGTCTGAAACTTGGCTTGATGTCTGTCTCCATAATAAGCAATACAGAAAGCAATTTTGCATCTGCCTTACAACTGGATACAGAGGAAAAAAAAGAGGCTGAAAGGCTACACTGCAACATTGTACCTAAAATGTTTTTATTTTCAAGAATAAAATAGTTTTATTTTTAACTTTTTACAGTCATTAAGATATGCTCTGAAGTATTTCCACAAAACATCTCAGATCCAGCTCCTCTGCATGCTGCATCAAGCAGAGACAATCTGAAATGTGGGGAGCATTCAGAAGTCTGAGATGCACTAAAGAACATACTTTATATATAAAGACATACAGCCTGCATGTGAGATATCTGCTGTTTCACACGACTGACCTGCTTGGAAACCTGCCCTGGTGGAAATGGCCATGAGTAATGCTGTAGAACTGTGCTAACATTCACTTGTCACTCATCATTTACAGCTGCTGCTACTGTAGAGGAGGAAGCATCCAAAATCCTTGATAGAGACTCACTAAAAGAAGCTACAACATAGCTCAGTAAACTACCTGAGCTTCAGGAGACACAGAACAAATAAGTACAAATCCAATTATTTTTTTCCTGCTCAATAATCAAGGTGAGACATCCTAGATCAGAAGTCATACAATAGTCAGAACAGCCAGCACTGTGTGTGAGAATAAGCACTGTACAGATATTCAACCTAATGCTCTCACAGAAGGACCAGGTAAAAATTCATCGATTACCTAACTCTTGCAAAAAAATAACTCTTAGCTGCCAATAAATCGAACAGATCATACAAGAGCATGATATTCTCCTATAAAAAGAAGAATTTTATCTGTGGGAACAAGGCATATATAAAGCAAAATAATGAGTTTTAAATTGCACCAGCCTGCTGGTTCTGCATGACCCATTATGCTGGCTTTTGACGAGGGATTCTTTTTAATCATGGTGACTCAGGTGCAGATCCCATCTGTTGATGCCAATTACAGCAGATCACCAAAAGTCTTTATTAGCTGTAAATTCAGTCTACCACTCACATTATATTTATCACATAAAGGAAAATTAATTTAGTAATTGAAATTGCACACTCTGAATGTATTACTCTTAAAAGCTGAAGTAAAATAATTTTTGATATTTAGTTGAGAAAGCCTCCATTAAGAAATTCTTTTAGAAAAACATTTCGTGCTGTAATTCAAGGTAGCAGCAGGATGCTATGAATGCCAAGGTGGAAAGCTACCAGTCTGCACGTTAAACTCTGGTTAGTATGGAAGACAGTAACACTTCAATAAACAGGTGATTAGGCAACTCCCAGCTCTGTTAAAAGCAGATTGGTAGTCTATTACAAACTGATTAAATTTGCCACTTCTTCACTTCAAACAATTATATTTGCTCATTAACACTTGATATGTTGAATGCAGCTTAAGAACATAGGAAAATTAAATATCAATCATTCTAACTCCTCAGAGATTTAAAACTGACTCACATAATGATATTTTCCTTCAAAGAACAATAGGCATGTGCACCTGTGAAAGCTGCTGTGGAGGAGAAAAGGGAGGATGAGAAAAGTTATTTAAAGATTGATGAAAAGTAGATATCAAGGGAATTAAACATGCAGCTTAACTGTCGTGCTGCACTGATGTGTTCGTACATACCTGATGAAAGTGTGTTCTAAAACAAAGCATGAACATCGCTGCCCGCAGCACAGGCTGTGGCACATGACATGCCTGTTAGTAAGGCTGACCTAAAATAGAATCATAAAGTATCCTGGGACCTACAAGGATCATCAAGTCCAGCTCCTGGCCCTGCATACATCAGCCCAAGAATCCCACCATGTGCCTGAGAGCATTGCCCACATGCTCCTTGAACTCTGGCAAGCTTGGTGCTGTGACCACTTCCCTGGAACATACGCAGGCATACTCTGACATGTGAAACAAATGTTCCTTTCATGGTTAGTGTTGAGTCCTAAAGGAGTTCTGGGGATTATTCCCAGTTACTTTATCACCTTTGCAAAACACAGAGACTGCATCTTACTGGAAGCTGGGATACTGGAGAATAATACTAACTAGCCTTTAAACAATTGCATCTATCAGGATATGGCAGAGAACCATGAAAAGCAGAAGAGTATTTTTAACCCTTTTGTGGTGATGGGAAAGCTGAGATAAAGGAGGGAAAAGAAACCTTCTCATGATTCTTCATCAGGCCACAGATAAAACCAGACAGAACACACACTTTTGAGATTACTGTTCTTCATTCCTACAAACTAGAGGTACAAACTCTCTTTCCAACTGACCTTAAAAAGTAAGATGTTAAAGATGTAAACCACAAAAAACATCATAGCCGGATAATTTTGAGCTTGCTGTAAAATGCATGCTTATTTTAAAATTAATTTTACATTCTTCAGAGAATCTGTTTCTTACTCATTACACCATGGGAAGAAGGGGTTAGGCATCCCTATGTTCACCTAGCTGCACCTACACAGAAGACATTGATGTGACCAATCCCCAAAATTGACAGCTGCAACAGTTATATATCCTTTTTATCTTGGAAGAACATTACTTTCTACTCCTCTTATTCTCTTTCTTGACTAGGTACTTCTTGACACCATATGAGGAAAAAACACAGCAAAGAAACTGTTGGGACTTGCTGGTGGATGTGGTAAATAGACCTTCAGCACATTATTAATACATAATTACATACTTGGTTTTAAGACCTGAAAGTAAAAAACTTCAAACTTGATATCTACTATTCAAGTATTATGATGAACTTTCTGATGAAAACTTACTGCAAACTACAAGTTAAAGGCCAACTGTTTATCTTTTTATTTTATGTTTCAATTAAAAGTGAACAACAACACCATTAGGTAAATGTTAAATGGAAGAAACCATTTCTTCTTTGAAGAGGAGGGTGTAAAAGTCCAAAATTAATAAATCAAATGCTGCATTTTTGTTCCTGTCTTCCTATCTGGCTGAAACCATGACACTGGCTTGTCTGTAGGGACTGTGGACTAAGGAACATGGTGGGTGGGTAGCAGAAGTGGAAGATGAAGCACTCTTACATGGGTCATATTCTAAGATCACAAATTCTGAAAGTATAAAACTCTGGTCCAAAAGTGTAATGTTGACACTAGTGAATTGGTTCTGGAAATAATATCTGTGCCCTGCCCCACTGTCATCTGACATGAAGCACAACCACATTTGAGACTGTGGAATGCTGAGGTACAGCAAGGTATAGATATGAAACCTCCCACTGGTTTAAGTGGGGACTGGAGGCAGCAGACTCTGGGGTATTTAAGAAACAACTTAAATCACAGCAAGATGCCTTATTTGACATGGTCAACATTCTATTTTCTTTGATAAAAAAATCATTAAAAAGTATGTGATGCCTAAATCCAACACATGTTAAGATTGTTCTTATCATATTATAGCCAGTACTCCAGCTGGGTCCCTTTAAAGGTTAAAATAACATCTGTGGGTGGAGTTCATCTTTTTCAGATCCACGGGCAAATGTAGGGAGCTCTGTCACAGACTATCTATTACAAAAAGGATTCCCTCCAATCAGTGGAGGAACAATCAAATTTTCAAACACGCTATCCAAGCATAGGTAGGAGATTGGCATATTGTTCAATATTATGACTAAGTAGTCACAGAAGACTCAATTCTTCCCATTTATTCCAGCTCTGAACTTGACCAAAAAAATAAATAAGGACTGCATCAAAATTCACAAATTATGTCTTTGAAGACAAGTACAAATTGAAAATTATTTTGTGTGATAATAAAAGAATAGGCTCTTTTACTTGAGCAAGCATTTAATGATGGCCTGTAAAACTGGCTCTGTAGAACCCTGTGATGAATCCTCCTGCCAGTGTTTAGATGTCTTTTGCTCCTTTACCAAACATTGCTAGCTGAAGAGTTTTGTATTTTAATGACCAGGAGTCTAATTATCATTGAACAATTAAGAGAACATACATTTTCATGACACTATTGTCTCTCTGAACAGGTACAAAACATTTCTACCATGACTCATTTCTTTTTGCATGAGTAACATAATGCTGAGTAACTTCTTTGAAAAATGATGCATTTAGCTTTTTTACTCAAAACCTGTTTTAACACAAAGGTAAAGGACCGCTCACTTGAAGTACCTGAAAATTCGGTAATAATTCAGTTTCCTTGCTTCTACTGAAGTGATTGAGCCAACTCTACCCTGGATATTGACTATGGCAACAATTCATGTTAGAGAGAATGTACTGCAATCCAAGTACCAAAACCTCTTAGCCTCACATAACAGGAAGGGTGATAAACTTACCTTGTGTAGCAATGTAGTGATTTGGTCTATGATAACCCTAGAATAAATTGAAAGAAAAAAAAAATCAGCAATTTGCACCTTGGCTATGTTCCTATGAGTGAAACTCCATTTAGGATAGGATTCAGTAAATGTCACAACAGTACAAATAATGTATTAGATGCAAAAGTTCTTTTCACTTGGGGACGGGCAATTTAGAAGGGAAACAAAAGCAAATGTGTTTTCTGCAAAATACTTAAGTAGCAGCCTTGTCCATTAGGGGCCAGAAGTAATATGTTCCTTCAGTCCCTTGTTGGCTCTGTTGAAAATGAACAGCATGAAATCCTCTCTAGCCCTTGCAGTAAATGGCATCAGGTGCTCATAAAGTCTGAGATATACCTTCACCTATAGATGTTGACTGCAAAGCCTATCCCTTTTTTAACAGTTAAAAATTTTCAGATTTGAATTCACCCTGGGAAAGGCAGGAGGACATGGTGTTCACTCTGTTCATGGTGGTTTGTTTATGTTTTATTTCTCAACAGTAAAAAGGAGGATAAGTTCTTTGATTACATCATTTGTTATGAACATACTTTTTCAAGAAGAACATAATACAACTCTGATGACAAGAGCAGCTTAATCACAAGTTGGCCAAGCAATAAAGACCAATACTCTGTGCATTCTTTGCAACGTGGAAAAGGTTGCCAAAATTTAATGATAGCATGTTTATAGTATTTGAATTTCTGATGTGATGGGAGTGTCACCAAATGTTTAGATCATGTACCAGTTGCTGATCAATCCAGTTGTAGGAGTGTTAATATTTGAATAATGGTTATGATGCATTGTCAGTTTTCAGCAGGAAAAACCTAATGCTGTAGCACGCATGCCATTGCAATTTCTTTGTGAAACAGCAATGGGAAATGCAGTGATACAAGTTGGAAAGAATCAAAACAACAGAGTCTGCTTTGAATATTACAGAAAGGATGACATGAGTTACAGAACTGATTTCTTTACATGACACTGAAGCAAAATTTGGAAGTCTGTGAACTGAGAAGTGTTCAGAGAGCTACAGAGCAGATTTTTTTCCTGCCATGTGTTACCTAATCCTTAGTGCCTGGGATCAAACACTTTCATTTCCCGGTGAAAAAAAGCATGGGAAGAAATACATCATAACCATTGTGTCTATGATGGTGCCATTCCCTTATACTGACAGCACAACTCCAGTAATAACTGCATGCAAGAGCAAAATTAATGCTGCTTCTGTAGTAGAAAAATCAGTGTTTCTAATGGAAACCTGACTAACAAGATTATAAACAAACATGCTTTGTTTTGTGGCAGAGTTGTCTTTGGAGGTTGCCTCTAAGCTTTGCAATGGAGCCATCTGCTGAGGATGAGGAGAAGACATTTTTTGCTCTCGGGCACTGTTTCTTCTAGGACCACATTCTCTCCATGCTTTTGTACTCCATAAGCAAAAAAAAAAAAAAAAAAAAAAAACGTTTCTATGCAGATATCTATCAGCATTTTATATGAAACTGTATAATCCAAATCTTTATTTCTCATATCTCATAATATTTTAGAGTAAGATCCAAATCTGACACGAAAACATACTACTAGCCTAAAATGAGAACAACCCTGAATGCTGGAGAAAATGTGAAAGTGAATTTAAATCTAAGTTCCCAGTGTGAACTCTCTCTTTCCTTTCATGACAGATTACTCTCTTCAGAGATTAGTGTGGCATATAAGGAAATATATTTCCACATGTGCCTTCACTGCTTGGTGACTGTGCTATTCTTTCAAACAGCAAGGGACTGAGTAGAAATTTGGGCTTAGTCTAATGATTCTTGAATGCACTTATTGAATGCTTGTTATATCAGTAACAAGAGATATCTTCAGAAAGTTCCCTCAGACTTCATATTGTTACAACTGAAGTGCCTACTTTTCTTGTATAGCTCTAGTTCCTCCATATTCTGAGAAAAAAATATCTGTTACATTCCTGTTTCATACTAGTAATTAAATTTGAACTGCAAAATCTGACACCATTTTTCAAAGATATAACTGGTGAACAACAAATCTTTAGCAGGCACAGTTTCCCATGAAGCAGCAATTGTTTTACTTAGCCTAAAATCCATGTGAACATTAAAATTACTAACTTTGCTATCCATAGACTTCTGGCTTTAGACAAATAATATTGTCTTTTTAATGATTTTCAATTCTACTTTTGAGCTCATTCTTTCAGCCAAAAACACCTTGTCTCTTAAAGAATTTATTTTAATGTAAAACATTAAGTTAACATGATGCAGAATGAACAAAGAAGCCACTTTCAATAATTAAACAGCCTACATATTTAATGAAATGTCTTGCTTGCATTAGAAATACTGGTTAACAGCTGCAGAATATACTTTGAAGGCGACTTAAAAGTGCAGAGATGACAAGAGACTGCAAATCTCTGCATTAGGCATTACAGAGTTTTGTCACATTAATATGCAAACAGCTTTCTTTTAAATGTGGAATGATGCCAAGCTGTTGACAGAAAGAGAAAATAACATTTTGCCAGCCCATATAAGCACCAGCAGGCAAAGTAGCCATACAGTGTTCCTGGCAAGGTTTCAGTCTAGCGGCAGTTGGAGGAAATGACTAATTTCATTTACTGACTGACAAATCTTTAAGGGTTTTCTCTTCTTTTAGTGCACACCTAGCTTCCAAAGATAGCACTCTCCAGTGCTAAACAATGTTAGCAGCTGTTATTAGTTGTGGTATCTATTATAAATTGTGAATACTATGAGAATAAGAGTTCCCTCTTTGACTGAACACAACATTAAGCTTGTTGACTACATCAGGATACGCACATCAATATAATTCCCATTGATGTAATCGGAACTTGTTTCCCCTTCAATAGGCTGCAATCTCACTCGAGAATGATCATCTGAAAAGGGAACAATGGAGAGGAAAAAAAAGTAATTAAAGATATATTCAGTAACACAGGCCTAATCAAAATATTCCTTTATAGTCAAACTAAAACCTTAGCAATTGCAACTTCATGCTTATTTTGTCGGACATGAAAACTGTATCTACATTTAATTCTCATTTCAGTCATTCACAGGCATTCCAAATCCCCTCTAGTTTTCAGTATGAATTTCTTAAATCTTATAATGTGAAACTCATTACAATTATCACTTTTGCTTTGACTCCCTGCTTTTGTCAATAAAATAACATTAAGTTTTCAAAGGTTTATTCATTTGGAAATACTTCTGCCAGTACTGAGGAGGAGCTGAAGTCATTCAAGACATAATGCCACCTCAGAGTTTTTGAAGGAAACTCATTATCTTTACACTAAGAGAGAAAGCAAAACACAGTAATGGCAAAACCCAAGCAGTTAAGACAATGGCTTTGTCACTTAATTTTGCTCCACTGTGGTCATCTGTATCTATCCAGGACTGTGAAAACACTTCCAACTTTATTTTCTAAATTCCATTGTGAAACATCATGGCATGAATTAATCTCATGACAGCTGCCTCATCTTCTCTATGATATAGCAGCTGCTAGAGGCTAGTTACCACTCTGCACAAGAACATCTGTAAGCTGGCAGGGCTCCTTCTTTTCTGAGACTTTGTAAGCTCCTCTTGACTGTCTTAGTTCAAAAGCAACCACAAACAATAGCTTTTTCCGAATGCTGCACAATTTGAGGGTAGGATCTCAAGGATGGAGAGATGGTAAGCAGCCACTTTATTGCTGCTTTGTTTATGAGGTACTCTTGTTAATTAGATACCTGTGTATTATGGTTTGCTGCTTGCCTGCTGAGCTAATATTACTTGCAGCTGATGATAGAGCTACATGATGGCTGTTATTGTGTTGTAAATGTAAATAATCATTAAAACTTGCCAGCTGTGTTCTGAACAGCTATTTCTGAAGCTTTAAAATTTCTAAAAGATAGCAGACAAATGAAAGAGCATGAAGGAGCTTAAAAACCCAACTTCATTATAAGTAGCATAATTTTGGCCCACATTACGGTGGAGGAAGACCAGGGTGCAGAAGCACTTTATTTAAGTGCTTCTTAAAATAACGTTTTAGAATTACAAGTCAAGAGAGAAACTGGTCAAGATGAATTCTTTTCCTCTTCCTCTTATGCTCCAAGTCTTAGGAAATAGCGATCTCAGACCCTCATTTATTTCCCTGGGATTCCCTTGGGAAAGAAAAAGGGTGTGCTACAACCCCAACATAGTAAATCAGAATGAATTAAAATCCCATCTCCAAGTTCCACACAGGTCTTACATTTCTATTTTCTTTGAGTTATTTCATTCAACAGTCTTCAAGAATAAGGTTTTTAAACATGCTGGAATATTTGAATCAGTTATGCCAATCAGGTCAGCCTCTTCAGCCTCTATATTCACTTTTCCAAGAATAAAAATGTATCGAGCTGTGACTTTCCATTACATAACCCCTGCTTGTCTGACTCTACTAAGCTTTGCTTATCCAAGTGCTTTGCTAGTCTATGCTTAATTAAGCTATTTATCAGCTTCTTCAGAACAGAGGTTCGGCTCACAGGATCTTAATCACAAAAATCCATCTTACTTAAGAAAGATACTAAGCAACTTTCTAAGCTCCAGCCATGGCTGCTGCTTTTACAGTTTTGGGACCTGATCCAACTTCTGCTAAAGTCAGCTGACTCAGAAGTCAAGCTTGCTTGGACTCATGGTGTATCTTCATCTATATTTTCATGTTTTCCCACAATGTTGCCTTACGGGCATTCTCACCAAGAGAACTCAGGCTAGTAAAGATCTACACTTTCACATTTCTTGAATTACAGAGGGCAAGGTTCAGTTGTCTAAGCACAAAATATCTCATGGCACTTTATACAGCCACCAGGATATACTGCCTGGCTTTCAGCTGCCAGTGTGGAAAAGCGCATCTCCCATATGTACTGTGCTGCATTCGTTGGTCTTGCACAGATGTCTCAGGCCACCTGAAACGGCCTAATCCCATGTCTGTATTTAGGCAACTGAAACCCCTGTTTGATCACTTGCCTAGAAATGAGTTCCATATTGGACAAAACAAGCTTAGCTTTTTCACTCTGAGAAACAACTTAAAAATGTAACTTCCTGTAATTTGACTGATTCATACAACCAAGTAATATGCAGTATCTTTTCATTTCCATTATTTTGTTACTTTTCTTACAATAACTCTTGCTTCGGATTAAGCAAAATAAAGAAGTTACTTCATACCGATATCTTTATATAATCTCTTTCCCTTTTATCTTCTCATGTGAATTTTTCTTAGTACTGAATTCTCAGCTAAGTTTCTGGGAATTCTGGAGGTAATGGACTGTCCAATACCCATTTATTTGCAGTGGAATTGGAGTGACTCCCTTTTTTTTATTGCTTTGAGAACTCAAGTTAACTCCTTACTGCATGGCAACACTTGTTAAATAAAAAAAAATCCTTATGTCAACACAAAGAAATGTTACTGTAGGCTTTGCTTATGTCAAGCAGATTTAAAACTAAGAAGTACACTAGCATATTCTTCAACACGTGTGTTGATTCTTAAATAGTCTCTAGATTAACTTTATGTTTTTAAGGTATTTTTTTCCTTTATACTCCAGCTGATCATGACAATTTATACAGCTTTTAAATACTCTTTTTTCTATCTCCTTGTTATTTTGATACCCTTCCATTAGGAGATCTAATTTAACGTTCCACTGATCACTTAAGCTTTTAAATTTATTTATCTTCAAATAAATTTTTCTTTGTGGAATATGGTAATAGATAACAAATATAAGCATTTTATCCTCTCTTGCCTCACGTTACCTAAAACATGCATATGCCAGCCTTAGACTGGGATCTCTAACAAATCCCTTGAGCACCTGGTTGATTAACATGCCTAGCCAATGACCCTTTCTTGGGACGTGCATTCCCAATTCAAATCAAACCTTCTATAAATGTCTCACCTAAAATCTTTAGCTGCTTTTAAAAGCTGTGATCAATATTCTCTTCTCATTTAGTCAATATTGAGTTAGGTAAAAATAAATACAGAACCCCTCCCATTCCCTCAAGATCTCTCCTGAGGGAAAAAAGAATAAATTTTACCAAAATCCATGCCTAACCCCACACAGTTATGGCAGAAACATAATTTTTCTTAGGTGATGAAAGATTCATTTAGCAGGTTCATGCTGGGTATAGTTTGTAATGAGAAAAAATGATTTTTTTTTTTTTGTTCAGTAAAGAAAGAACATGTTTTCTGTGGGTAACTGGACTGTGATCATGATTCAACTTTTTGTAGCCACTGTCATAAAATGGGCAGGGCAGATTTGTAGCCAACTGAATGCACATCATTTGGGTAACATAAAGCATACTACAATTTTGACAAGCTCCTGCAATGCTGGATGCTTGTTGCTATTGTTTAAGTTCCTCTCGAGAACAATAATGACTACAAGCGATAATATAACAGTAGTATCTTGGGAAAAATTAAAACAAAAAGGGTAAATGGATAGAAAAAAAATGCTATGCAGAAAAAATATACATTTCATTATAATCATGTACCCATAGTTAGCAGCATCTAAACCGCTGTATTTTTAAAGTGTTTGAACATAGCATAAAAGAGCAATTTATTAAAATGCCTTTAAGCTAAAGCATATACTTTATACAATTATCTGGGACAAATTTTCAAAAGTCGACCATTCAAATTGTACCCTCAGAGTCTGAGAAATGCAGTTATTTATGTAGGAGAAAAACACATAAAATAATTAAAAAGCTCCCTACCCCATTTGTATACACATATTTAACAACAACAAATGACAAATTGAACTACAAACTGTGAGCAATTTCAACTTTTCTTTTAAGATAATGCCTTTAATTCTAGTAAATCTTAATTTTATCTTGAGTTGTCTTTGTTTTCACAGCCACATAAACAGGAAGTGTTATTGATAAAAACTCTGTCCAAATCTCTGCCTCTGCTAAATACTGAGGACGTTTCAAGTAAATTGAGATCTAAATGTCCTGAGTTATATTTCGCCTCTTAGAAAGCCTTCAGTATCACTTGCAATTGTCATTGATTTGTGTATCTAATATCTTTTATGTGTTCTACTTTGGCTATTCATCACTCGATTACCTCAGACATAAAGCACTAGCAGCTTTCTAGCTTTCTTCAACACATGGGTGTCAAAGTTTAAGGCAATGTCTAACATGACATTCAAAGAGGGGAGTGACACACTAAACCTGACTACAAGATAAGATCTATTGTAATTGGCTTGGACTGGAAAAAAAATCATAAAGCATGGATAAGCATAAAACTACTCTGTATTTCTTATTTTTGACTTTGATATTTTTACTCAAATGATTAGCTGTTACTCATATAATGTATTGCTACATCCTCACAAAATAACAAGTTTTTACATATTAAATATTGCTTGGAGGGAAACAAGCAAGACCATATCTAGTTAACTTATCTGCTTTTCCATATGCACCAGCCCATCATGATAATCACATTTCTCTAGAAGATTTAATTTCCTTTTTCAGTATATAGCACAGTGTACATCCAAAATACACAGCAATACTATCATGTCCACTTAAGACCATGTGGCAGATAGTCTCTTGCTTTATTTGCTTCTGCCTCCATGTGCATTTCCTGTGGATTCTCATTCTGCAGCAAGCTACAGAGCTGTTTTCTCTTTGAAGACAGTCTCGGCCTCTATTCTCATCACTTACTGTAGGCCACTAAGCCGGGAGCTGTTTTCTCTAGAAACATACACTGCAGAGAGTATCCCCCCTGAGGTGGTGATTCAGAAGCATAAAAATGGGCTCTGTTTCAGAACCCTTTCTCTGGAAGATCTGTCCTTCTCTCTGTCATGTCCACATGGTTCACTGATGAGGAAACCTAGGCAGATAGGTGCCTGGACAAACGCCCAGGACAGGTGCTGAAGTTTGTGCAAATATGCACTACAAACTCCTTCCACAGGTCCTCCAAATGCTCAGACAACCAGCTTGCTTATTCTTCTCTGCTGGGTTCTGTATGGTATTTGAACTCAGCAGTATCATTAAATGATCCCTCCTTAAAGACCACCCTTCATTTTCATGCTTACCAAACAAGGTGATGGCTGCTTATTTCTCTGCTTATACCCTCTCATCGTTATCTGGCTGGCTGTTAAAAACACATACACTCCCCATCTTAAACTTAGATTTTAAAGTGAAAAAACAGGAAAATTATAATCTCCTACATACACACTGAGAACTTACCTTTAAGTGCAAAAAGAGCAGTGTGTAAATAATATAATTTTACTGGCCTTGATATATTTCCTGCCTCCATGTTCATGTGCAACACTTCTAGTCACAATGCTTTGGAACTCTCATAATGCAAGATTTAGAGGTCACTCACCATAGCCTGTTATCATCTCCTCAAGTTGATTATTAATGCATTTAATCCTTTTTAAGCCTAGAATTTTTAAGTAAAACATAAGGGTTACCTTTTTTCCTTGGAGTCTGTCTAGCACAAGCCAGGATAGTTGTCCCTGGTTCTGTGGAACACTTAAGCATCAGTACTGTCTGCTCCTAAAATACCCAGAACCTAATACCAAGGTATTGATGTGATCATGGGTAGTCTTGTGCTAAGCTGACAGGAGCAGTTTGGGACCTGTTAGAGCTGAGTACTGGTTAAAGGTGTTGTTCTCCATTAGCCATACACTGATCACAGGATGGAAGGTAGACAGAAGAGCAGTTGAGAAAACACATTAAATCTGACAGTTTTATCAAGAAAAAAAAAAAAAAAGAAGAAACATTTTCCTTCATTTTTATCTTCTTAATTAGGGAATAGGAATACAAGCCTGGTGTGAGCACAAGGCTGGTGGTCATTCTTATCCAGATCTGAAGGGAGTTAACGAAGTGCACAATTATGTTGTCAACACTCACATGCAATGATATTCCCATATCTATTTTTCATTCTGTTCTCATCTTTCTTAGCTGAGTCCCATGGTGCAGACTGTCCTTCAAAGAAACTCTAAAAAAAGGAAAGAAAGTGACATTAAGAAAAGCATGCAGCAGCAGCTACCTTATGGCTAAATGAAAGAGAAAGGCAAACAGTACTTGTGGGTATTGTTGTTAAAGTGTCATTTAAATGATTCATTTATTGAGCAAAAATACGAGTCTCCTGTTTAAATGGTATTTATGCATAGCTCCAGATGTTACTTAAAATTTGACATGATCTGTGTAATAGCAAGAAGAATTATTTGCAAGTAAAGTACTATTAAACCTTTCCAAATCTGTGTTCTTGCAACACTAAGAGTCCTTCACTTGTGCTATCCAGATTCCCCATATAGTTTTCATACACACACATGAAGCTGAAGGAACTTCATCACCAGTGTTGGAGCTGCTCCAGTATTTGAGTGTAGAAATTACAGACTGTACTGATATGTTTTATTCTTGACAAATCCTAAGTTTCATTTACTTGCTGGCAGATGACCTCATGAATCAAAACATACACAGGCATTTAAAAAAACACGGATTCAACTAGCACACGTGCCTTTTTTTCTCTTAAGCACAATTTACAACACCACTATGATGATTATTTTCTCAGAGAATAAAATCAATGTGATTTTGTGAAAGGTATAATCTAATATTCACCAAACTGCTGTCATTTAGCTAGTAACTCATGTGAATAAGAAAGTTGAAGGTGCTTAAAGTTTATTTTTACATTAATAAAACACAGACGCTTCCAAAAGGGCAGCAAGCAAGTTGTTATGCCCTACATGACCTGTGCTTTCTGTGGTGTAAAAGAGCATTTGCACAATCTCCTAATTTATGCACTGTATCCGTAAGTCATGATGGAGATACATTTAAAATTTCGTATCGAAACATTAATCTTCTGTTTAAAAATACTTTGTTGCCAAGCAAACTACTGGAATTACATCATGTTTATGACCAGTCCTAACTCATGTTTTTATCTTTTTGCCAGAATGATTAGTAGATTAAATCTTTTGTACCACACTAAACAGAGAAAACACTGTGAATTTTGTATCTCTTGCAAGATCTCAAGACATTCTAAGTGGTTTAAAACAGATAATGCCCATAAAATCGTCTACTATTACTGTCTTTTGCCCTCAAATTTAAAAAAAGTTGTTTTTAGAATCGCAATGATTTCCAATAACAAAGAGCATAAAAGTCAAACCAAACCCTTGATCTCTTGCTGAAGTCAATAGAACATAAGGGTGTTCAGTGTCTAAAATGGCTATTCTTTTCACAAGTTTCTTAGAGTGCTGGTTTCCAATTTATGATCTAGAAACTCCTGGGAATACATGGACTACTTCTAAAATGTTCATAAATAATAACTCAAGAAAACTGTAAACCTTGTCCGTGGCTTCAGTTTGTTTTTCCTTCATCTCTCCACACTTTCTTTGAAAATTTTTCATGGTTTGGAAACTGAAATTATTAAAACCCACTAATTCAAACAATTTTCTCCTTACTCATAACATACCATCACTGGGTACAGCTCTGAGAAACACTGATTGCTACAAGGACAGAAGAGTGTAACCCTGTGAATCCTAAGATGATTTACAGCTTTGGGGCTCTTTGCCAAAAAAGGTGTCAATCGTTATCTGATGATAAATTTGCCAATGGCATCCAAAGCAAGCAGGTCCTCCAACTCTAGAGTACTCTCAACTCAGTCTGGATGGAAATTACTTTTCTAGTAAGTCTGACTAAACTGCTTAAGGAATGACTCTGCGTGGGCAAAGATCTATGTCTCAATTTCTTGCAAAGTTCAGACTCTCAGACAACACTGGACGATGAACAATTAAACATGGTTAAAGGCAAAGTAGAAATGGAAATGGTCAGCAGCAAAGCTCCAAAGACACAACAAATGAACAATTCATCTGCTCTAAAATTTGATGTGCATTTCACATTTCAGACAGCTAAGCAGACTACTGAAAATTCTAGGTTTTTTTACAGTCCTTCTCCTAGAGACTAATGCACAGAATTGATCCATAAGACACTACCCAGCAAGTGGTTTTGAGTTTAATTCAGTAAGCATTACATGGGCTGTTACAGAGAAAGAGTCTTGCTGACACAGCTTCTGAGTCTACACCTTGAAATACAGAAGACCCAAATATTCTCCAAGGGACATCTTGTTTCTCTCTGTCCCACTAATGAACTTTTACAAAATTTCTTTAAACCAATCAAATAAAGTAAATATCTGGAGGCAACTGGGGAAGATTCAGGTGGTGTTGAATTCTGGGAAGAAATACACTGGGCAATGTACTGCTTTTGGAAATTTATCTCTGTCTCAGATGCAATGTACAAGTTCTACTTCTCACAAGTGTTTGGAACTTCTGAAAACAATAATAACTTTAATGAGCCTTGTAGGTAAACCATCTTCTAAAAATTTATCTGCAACAAAGACAATTCTGTTCTTTAGAACATATATATACCAAGCCTCACACAACAGCAAAGACCAGGAAACAGATTTACATTTACAGCTACTGCTTACTGACTTCACTTTCTTTATTAAAAATGTATCACAGAAAAGGAACTTCAGATATTTTTTTTTTAGTTTTTATCAATAAATTAGTGAATGAAATAAAACATATCACACAGGGAAAATAAAACATAATTTATGTATATCCATTTTTCTTTTTAATTCATTTTGGGATACACACTGGTATTACAGTGAGAGTAGTACAGCAAAGATATTTGAAGGAAGAGGTATTACAGTTCAAAAGCATAAAAAAACCCAGTTATTGTAAAAGACAGCTGGAATGTCATTTCCTAAATTCCCCGTGTGCTGCCATTACACAAACTGCAACAGAATGATAATCCACAATGTATTGTAAGGAGAAATCTCATTTGTCCCACAAGTAAAGAACAGAGCAGATATTTCATAACAGATGATCTGTCAAGATCTTTCCTTACTTGTGAGAAATACACGTTTCATTACAGAAAATTTTAAAATCTCTTTTCTGACATATAACTCTCCAGGGATGCTGCTGCACATCAGCCCACACATTATCTTTGTGGCTATTCATTCTAATTCATCCTTATAAGTTTCTTAAACCTGTGGACTGTTAGGAAGAAATATGGCCCCCAAACACTCCCACCAAATACTTGGCAAGGGCAATGGAGAACCGAAAAGGAGTACAGGACATTTCTCAAATAATTTAGAATAAGTATTTCTTCAACTCAAAATCCCACAGAACCCTGACTACCCAGCCTCCGTGATCTTCTTGAAAGATGAAATGCTCTTCCAGCCAGCTGTTGTTACAGCAGACATTTCAGTATGCATGTCAACTGCCATTCTGCTAGTAGAAAATATTACAATAATTAGGATAAAAACACCTCCTGAAGAAAAATTAATTACAGAGAATAGCTTTATATGCAGCATGAAAACTGGGTAGTGATGCAGCAGTAGGATCATCTTAGGAGGAATGTGATACTTTTGCGTGCTTTAACTCAACACTGTAGTGGTTTCCATTAAAAATTAAGTATTTGCCAAGGGCTCATTCACTGTGACCCTGACTAGAAAAATAACTTCGATATTTCAAATGAAAGGGGGAGATAACATTGCAAATACAGAGTTTTTTTTTTTTAGATTATTCCCTTTCCTAATTTAAAATTCATAAGTAAAAAAAAAAATTGGAAAGGACCTATATAAAAGTACAGTTTGAAGAGGCTGGTATGTGGAGAACAGGTGAGATCTTCAGAAAAAAATCTGTATCTCTGTTGATTGTCATCTTTGCCAACACACTTTCTATCCAAGATTTCATGCTTCCAGATAAAAATACTTTAAAAATTACATATTTTTAAGTGTTTTAAGGTATAAAAATGTAAAGTGTGGAATTACTATTTTTATTACTAGTCAAAAACGAAGTAGCAACTTTTCCAAAAAATACTTCATAGTTGCTAGGTGACAACAGATTACTTTCTTACGATGTTATTTACAAAATGCAAACTCTTATATAAAGAAAGGAGAAGTTAAGGATATCATAAATCTCTCTCTGCCTAGTTAATAAGCAAGAATATTATTTTTAGGTACAAAGAAATGCTATTGCACTTTGTAACAGTTTTAAGTTTGACCTGCGGATTTGTTTTTAAATGTATCAGTCTTTACAGTATCTGTTTTTCTCTACTGACTCTGAGTTTCTTCACTGGTAACATTAATTTCCCATTGCCATTTCTAAATAACCAGATGATAATGTATTTTAACAACATTGGCATTTGATGTATCCAGTTACAAATACCTCTGGATTTGTTTTTAAGGTACATGCAGAGAGTTATGTACATTGTCTGCTTTAAGCCAGGCCAGACAACTAACAGTGATCCTAATGGAGGTCCTTGTCTAAACTCTATTAGCTAGAGAAGAAACTTACATTTCTACAATAGCCCTTTGAGTTGCAGCTAAATTAGATGCCTAAAATGCCCTGAATTTGATAATGAAGATTCATTACTAGTTCAACACCAATGTTGTATCCATTTTATATGTGGAGATTACAGATGGGAAAAATGCATCCATTAAAGTCTGAATTAAGATCCTAGGGTCACATTAGACTCTTTGTATTTACAAACCCTAGTAAATACACATTTAAGCAAGACCATAAATGTTTGGAGGACAAGGATCTTCAGGCTCATTTAATGAACACTGCAAGATTTGTGAGCGCAGTAAATCAGTCAGTTCATTGGATTTTCAGTATTCAGAATCTGCTAAATATCTGGCATATTAGGATGTTCTTGTGACTTAACAACATTAACTCTTATGGTTTTTTTAAACAGAAAATTGAAATAATCAAGTTCTGTTTGTTGGTAACTCAGTATTTAGACTACTAAGGAATTAAAAAGGATGACTGAAAATTATGTTAACAGAAATCTGCTAGTCATTTTGAGGGAAGCTTTCATCATTGAAAATGCATCATCTGTAGCTAACAGATCTCCCCAAGTGTTTGTAAGCAGTGGTAAATTATTTCACTGATGGCAACCCACAGTATTCAAGCAGCTCTTCATACTTCAGTCATT